TTGCTTACACAACAAGTCCTCTTTCAATGCTGAAAACACTGTGGGGAAATTAACAGATACCGACATTCAGAACGATTGGAATCTTCAGATATTTAATGACATCACCCGTTTTTTCTCCTTCCTGTGAACTTGGTTTGCAAGAGGAAAAAACAAGCCAAACGTCAATAAAATTAAATATTCTGCTTGGGAATAAAGAGTCTGAGGCATAATTTGGTCTGTGTGGAAGGTACAACACTTATTTACAAAGTAGCCCTTTTATTCTCAAGAATTTCTAGTGGAAACGGTCTTCCTTCTTAGAATTCCTTCTCTCAAGAGAGGCTGAACTTCAAGCTGTAAATGTGTACTTTTAAAGCATAAAGCACCAATAAAGGTACTGTATTCGTGCTGGCAGACAATCACAATATATCTCGTTTGATATACTGTCCTAGTTTTGCTATTGAGAAATTAAAGCCCAGAAAAATTAAGAAACTTGTTTAAGATGAAGCAGCTAAACAGCAGGGAACAGGAGAATTCCTTCTATTTTTCTACTTTACCTTCCAAGTTTATTCTACTTCTTAAAAAAAGCAAACAAAAAGGCTCAACCACCTCTTAAGTCCAGAGCCCTGTACAACTAGTAATTTAAGGTTCTGAAGAAACATTATCCTAAAGACAGAAAAATCCTGAAGAAAGTCCGTTTCATCTTTCTCAAGCCTCTTTCAAGTTTAAAGGCCACCCTGTTCAGATCACATTCAGCTTCTAAAGGGGCTTTTAAGCAGAAGACCGAAAGCAGAGGGCAGCACGAAAACAGAGCTATTATCTGTGACACTGAACACTGTCAGTGGTCACAGGGTAAAGTCTAGTCAATTACACCACTCAGATAAGTTAAGCCTTGAGTAGCTATACTAAACTAACTCATTGTAAGGTTTTGATACCTGCTGGGAAAACACGAGCACAGCCAGTTATACACAAAACTTCCTAAAGACTAAGGACTACATGCCTACTGTAATGGTTCAGGTATGCACAGAAAAGCAGCTAAGCATAGATTAACCTTTAACTACTTGATATCTCCTATACTGCAGGAGCAGATCAAAAGGTGAAAGCCACTCTGGTAACAGCAGCTAAATCCCTTCAAGTATGGCAAAAGCCAAAGATACTGACCTGCAGTGACAACTGAGGCCACCAGCAGCTTACACTGACCATAGCAGTTTGAACTCAAGATCGAGCACAGTTGCTCCTTGTGGGGTTCACATCCACAAAAATCCAGCACTGCACAGAAGGGGGCAGCTTGAGGCAGAACTGCCACACAAGAGCCAGGCCACCAGCCAAGACTCAAACACCTCAAGCAGCTGGAGAAAGCACCCTCCAATCAGCCCCACAAACTCAGACCAACAACTGCACCAGCATGTCCAGTTGAGTATGATGGTTTGTAAGAAATCATTTAAGATTTTATGACACAGCACTGTGCTTCTGCCCTTGTGCCTACCTCAGCACTCAATTTCCCCTGCAACAGAGAAAACAGAATCAAACAACTCAACTATTTTCAACAGATCCTAATGTCAGGGAGAGGATCACATCAGTTGAATGCTCAAGGCTTGTATTCTACTAAGCTACTCACTAACTTTTCCTCTTACACAGTAAAGGAACAAACCTATTGTTCATAGCTGAAAACAGAGCAGAGCCTTTGTTATTAATTGCTCAAAACGTTCCTTTCTATGGGGGGAAAAATACTTCTCTAATTAAGGATAATACTTGAACAATATCAGTCTGCCTCAAAAACACTTGCTTTTAAGTCTCCTAGCTAAATAAGAGTTAGAAATATTTGTAAGTAACTCTGGAAATAGAATCAAGCTTCTTTTAAGAATACAAGGGATATTCTGCCTAAGTTAAGATACTGAAAAATCCCAAACTAACTTTGGTGACTCATAAGGTTTTAAGTTTTACACTAAAAGCAGTCTCCTCCTAGTGTTTTTATGGACTAACCTCCCTCTTAAAACTGCAAGATCTAGAACCAACTGCTGCCTATGGGCATGAAATAGCAAAGTCCTGCCTCTGGCACCCTAAGGCACCAACTACAAAACACTCCCATCTGATTTTAACCCATCAAGCCTAGAGGCAAAGAATATTAACAGGGTAGTAATTCTACTTGTAATCCAATTAGCGAAACATGACACCTATAGTTTAAGCATTTCCATTTTTACAATTACTTTGTGGATTCAGAGAATTCAATCGTGTTGATGTTATTTAGTAAATTTATTTATTAGCGATACAGAAAGAAAGTCAGTGAACTCACAATATATTTGTAGCCACAGATTCTGGTTCTTCAGAAAAAGTTTTAGTTCTATATTTACACAGCACTGTAACAATACTAGAGACAATATTTAGTATTTATGCTTTAGAATTCTCTGCTCCTTTAGTAGTGATTACAGAGTTCTCATAAAGAAGAATGAGATGAGAGTGGATGAAGAAAATTCCTGCTCACATTAACCTGTTCTGATCAATGCTGGTTTTGAATTTAAAACACCCAAATTGCAGACTGACCAAATACAGAGAACATATTCTGTAAAGAGGTTAGCTGATAAATAGTCCAAAGTAAAATTAGGACTGTAACATTAATTTCCTCATATTTTAATGAAATCTCAAACAGGTTATCTCATTCCTTGATTTAAGAATATTTTATCTTTAATATGCTTTCTAAAAAAACTACCATCACAATTACTCAGACCACTTACTTGGAATAGAAAGGAAGTGAAAGCTTGACAAGATGCACCTATGCTTGAAGACACAAGGAAAACACTAATGCCTAGCTCCATTCTGCTGGCAGGCAATGGAAACAGCATTATTATTCCTTTACTTCTATACTCTCACAATATGAACACAGAAGAAAATGAGAATCGACTTTTATTCCACTTCTAGGATTTATTTCTCAATGAATATCACTTTATTGACACACTCAGTCTTTCTAGTCCACACCTGATTTCAATTAAAAATGCTTTTGCAGCCCTAAAGAGTCAGTGGCTCCCACTTTAATGAACACTTGAACATAATTTATTATTCATGAAAACCTTAGCAGGCAAAGTATCCTGAGGGTCCACAAGCACTTTTTGGTGGTGTTTTTATCTTTGAGCAATAGAATGAAATAAGCACTTCTTGCAAGCTTCAGTCTTTCCCACAGAGTGCTTTTCAAACTGGTTTCATTAGGCAGAGACAGGCTGGTTTTACATTAAAATGCGTCTGAGTCTATCCCTTCTGCCTGCACTCCTCCACCACAAAGATGAAGTAATCACAGGAGATACAACATCTGCAGCACTGCTTGGTTACAGTGCTACCCTATCAGCTGAAGTTGAGAGCTTTTAACCAGTTATTCCAAGAATCAAGATCTGTATCAAAGTACTGAGAAGCACATTCATCTTCATCAAGTTAGGGGAGCACCAACATTTCAGCCTCTACATGAAACTTCTTTCTTTAGGAAATACATTTTCTGTCATTTTCTCACAGTAACTGTATCTCCCTTCACAATCGTGCAATACCTCTCTCCATTATTTAGTAAATAATTCACAGTTCAAGAAATCACAGGTGTGTGCAGTCATGGATGAGTGCCCATAAAGAGGTTTTGTTGAGTCATCATTATCCAAACTGCAACATCATGTCACCCAGAAGCACAGGTGAGTAAGCTCTAAACAGGTACATTTTGATTTCTCCTTTTCCTCCAATCCAAATCCTTACTTTTAGGTCTCTTTTTGCTTTCTCATCTATTCTACCAATACAAGAGTAACTAATGATACCACACACACATCATTCTTCATTTAAATCAACTTTATGACCTTTTAAAACAAATTTATGGAGTTAAGGGTAGTTTCAAATACTGCATTAATAACACTGCATTGTCATTACTGTTTCTCATACTTTGAATAGAGAAATCTTGAGAGTACATAACAGAAATCATTACAGATACCAAACAAGCTACATCAGCCTCTAAAAGCCTCGGCTTTGATACTGAAGTTCTAGTCTTTCAACTTGTAAAAGTCAACCCTCATAAGGCAATTAACCTTACAGAGTAGTGATGTTACAGAAAGAAACAAAAAAAGTCTATTTGCACATAATAAAAGCAGCAGAGGAAAAGATTAGATTTACCTACAGTTTAAAGAGGATTAAGTCAATTTCTCCAGCAAGATGGCCTAAGCCTTCCCTACAATGTTTACGGTCAATTTCAGGACAACAAGAAACTCAATTCATTCTCTCACCCTGACAAGTAAAGGTTCAAGCAATAGCAGCATAGATTCAAGCATCTACAGGACATCATCTTTTAAAAGTGAAAGTTTAAACACATATGTTGTTACATGGTTCGGATAGTACCATATGGCTGTGGTATCACATGGCTATGAACATATGGGCAGTTCACTTTTTAGTGAACAAAAAGAAGCAGGGTTACGGGTACTTTATTTCACAAATTCATTCTGCTCCTATCAGTCACTTGGAAACTATTAGCAGGACACAATTCCTATAATTCCTATACCCTTTACCGTCCCCACTTGAAAACATCATTTGGCAACACAGAAGTAGTAGCAGGTAACTACAACATTACAAAGCTTATTTCAAGAACAAGTCCAACAAAAATAAAACCATCACCCAAAAAAAACCCAACCTCATCAAGCAGCACAGAATGTTTCGATCCCAGAGGATACAGCAGAACAACAAAACAGAGCTCAGCCCACGTCTCTCTTTAGATTTGCAGTCAGCTGCTGTAAACTGTCAGCACACTAGTAACCCTTCACAAAACGTATATATTAATATGAGATAATGGGGACTGAGCAGCCATGCCTCACATCATTAACACAACCTGAACTGACACAAAGAACAACCAGAACCGCCAGGCCACCCACCAACAGAAAACAGAGCTTGCGTTTTTTTCCTTCCCTCCTGCATACCTGGTTCCCACCAGACTTCTGAATGGTTCCAGCAGCTGAATCAAAACATCACTTGAGTGAGGTGCACTAAATCCACCTCAGAATACAAAAGGATACAGCCTTAGTGCTCCAGTCTGAGTCCCGATAGCCAGTATTTTCTGAACAGGATCAAATGCCAAGGCTGAAGGCTGATAAGGGAAACCATGGCGTACAGTCTAACGAGTCAGAGCATCGCAGCAATGATGGGTCAAGCAGCATACCAAAAACAAACAGAATCAATACTGTGTGTTAGAGAACAGGTTCAATGTTAATCACAATTTTAAAAGGAACTAGAAAGCATTTTAATAACAGACTGAGAAAGTCAGCTGTCTTACACAAACCAATTATAAAAGATCTCTTTCAGTCATAATTACTCATTCATCCCTGAGCATCAAGTGACAGTCAGACTTAACGAAACTTAATTTGAATCCTACATTTCTTCTGTGCAAAGACTATATCAACTATTTTATTTTTTCATCTGCCTCATTCACTGAGTAATCTTCTTCTCAGCTCTAACAAAGACACTAAACTATTAAAGACTAACATGCTCTTAGCAAGTCTGGCAACAGAGCCAAACTCGTTATCAGAATCATTACAAATTACTAGATCTGCTTTTCTGAGAATAGCTTCAATTTCAAACCAACAGGCCCCACATGACAGTGCAACCTCTGTCAGCAAATTAAGGGAAAAAAATACAACCCGAGCTTGACAGAATCAATTCCTCACTCTCTGCTTCCCCCAAAGAGAACAGTCAGCCCCCAGAGCTGACAAAACCAAAAAACACCCCACCAAACAAAAGCAAAAAAACCCTCGGCCATGGGATTCTTTCTTAATATGAAGCTATTGGCACATTTAGCTTTTTGGTCAGCCAAGACTAATTTGGTAATTGAGTATGTAGTAACTCCATTACACTTCTCAGGCTGCAATTAATTAGAATTGAGAACAAAATAAAAGTGTCACCTACTCTTATTTCTGCTATATACACATACAATAGAAGACATACAAATGCTAGCTTTCCCATTTCAAAACCTTTAATTTAAAGCAGAGGTATCTCAGAACCTCATAAATGCAGAGCAAACTTCTGATATGCTCTTTACTTCACTGAAGTTGCAAGCATACCCTGCCACTCTTTGTATTTCAGCAGTGAATAAAGTCTAACTGGCTCTGTTCTTCTCCATTTCCTTCGTAAACAACTTGCAAAAGTGGCAGAAATACCTGTGATATTTAGGAAAAGCAAGGAGGACAATCCATAAACAAGCTCATCCATGTCAAGCTAGGCCACAGGTACATTGCAAAGATAAAAACGGGTATTGATATTCAAATCAGTTTTTATTCCTCTTGGTACAGCTGGTGGTTAATTCGCTGCATCATTTTCTGAAGCGTGCAGACACAAACTGCAGTTATTGTATCGCACACCAGCAAACAAAAAAAAAAAATCGGAACTTTTGCTCTGTCTCTCGAGAAGATTTGCAACAGCAGCATCAGCAACTTGGCAACACACTGCAGCGAAACCACCACAAACGTCTACAGCCTGTTTCAGGCATAAAGGAACAGGATAAATGCATTTCCAAATAATGCAGAGCGACAGATCCCCTGTCCTTCGGGCCCATTAGCAGAGGCTTCTACTCAAATGCCGCGATAAGCAGATCTGCACTACAGCTAGGTATCGGTCCTTCCCCCATCCATCCAACTCTTTCTACGAAGCCTTCGTGAACACAATCAATATTACTCGCATGAACGAGCCTAGAAGACGACAAACCCTGAAACTCCCCGAGAGAGATGACTGCGAAAAGCCAACAAGATCTGCACTGCTGCACCCACCGCTCGCCTCCCCTCTTCACCCCCCACAACACTCCCTCCAAACAAGTAAACACGCGCGGCGGGCGGGCTCGGCGAGCTCGGGGGGAGAAGCG